TTGTGGGGGTGGGTGGGGTATGAGATAGTTTTTGTTCACTTAGAATTATGCCTCCCCCATGATTATTGAATTGATGATAGAAGATATAACAAGAAATATATTGGTGTTAATCACATATTGCTATGGAAACTCAACTCATTGTCGGTGATTTGACTCACTGGGTATCCCCGATAGGACAGGGTAGAACTCCCTCTTTTGGTTTTTGAGACCTAACTGCTTTGTGGTTAGGAGCCTGCCCGGGAACTCACCAAGCCACCCAGGGCTCTCTGCCTGGGGTTGAAATTTAGCATGCTTTCTGTGTGACCTCTTAAAGTGACTTTGGAACTCTGAAATGGAGAAACAAATGTTTCTTATCCATACATTTTCTATCTACCCATCCCTGATCCCTGCTGAGTAAATAACATGAACCAAGCAGTAGTTTTCTTAACTGAAATAGAATGCTATCAAAATAATAAATACGTTGCTGAAGACCACATTACATAGCCTGCAAATATCAGTGTGCATTCCAGAATTAAGCAATGAGCATTACTCATTTTTCTAGATACTACAGCATATTATGTATTTTCTCCTTTTATGTAGCTTTTCTTCCTTTAAAAAATATTTTGGTGGTAGAGTAAGGAGGATTCATGAGTCTGGGAGAACAAAGTAGATGAATAATTTTGGAATTTAAATGTTAGGGTTGGTTAGAATGTTTGAGATAAAATGAGATGGAGTTCATTTTGCCCTTGATGTCAAGACACAGGGATTGGAATGGTTTAAGATGCTGTTTAGCCCAACTCTTTTCTTTAAACTATAATGAAAATAGCACATAATCAAGTGTCTTTGTTTTTGAAACTGCCTTCTACTTGTATGGGGACTAAGAAAGCTTATTACATACAATTCTTTTCAACAAGACACTCCCCCCACCCCCGCCATCAGAAGAAACATAAATAGTTTTGCTGCATTTTATATGGCATTTTATCTTTTTGTGTTTTTAGCTTAGAAGGTGAGTTTGGAATATATTAGACTGTTGAGATTTCAAGAGCCCCAAATTGTTAAATTTTAATTAAATGATTAAAATAGTGAAGGATAGTGAGAAGCTGTTTTATTGTACAATTGATGAATATAATAAAGAATGATTTATGCAGTTTGTTGGATTACTATAGATAATCAATAGCAGGAATTAAAAAGATGATTCTTTTAAAGGTAGAATCCCTTGGTATTGCATCACTTAATGGATTCATCTGTTAACGGAATGAAAAGTTGGAGCCTTTGGAGAAGGTGATCTACTTCTGAAAAAATTATCATTGAAAACCTTGTGGAACAGAGTTCTGCTTTGACAAACATGGGTGTTTGAAAGGCAACTTTTATTTTCCCTTTTTTCAGTATAAAGACAGGGAAAAGGAATTTAAATAACTGAGAAGAAATCACTAGTTGGTAATAGAGTCACTAAAAAGGAAAACATTACCCTGTAGTTTTAATTAAACCCCCCCCCTCCCCCCCATTTAATGAGATTTGCATACGAGTGCAATTGTTCTGTGTGTTTTTTTTCTCTCCCTTAATCTAGCCGTAGAATTTTCATCCTTGGGCCTTCTCATCACGTGCCCCTCTCTCGATGTGCACTTTCCAGTGTGGATATTTACAGAACACCTCTGTATGACCTTCGTATTGACCAAAAAAGTAAGTATGTAGAAAGCATATAGCTTTAAAATACCTGGAAAAGTTTCAGTAGAAATTATAACTAAAATATAAAGTGTTGAATATCATGGGATATACATTTTTGTATAAATTGCATTAATTTGCAAAAACAAATAAAACTAAAATAAGTCTATCAGAAGAGTTTCTTCCATCCACAAATGATAATAAATGCTTTCCTGCAAGCTATAGAGTCATTGTTTTGTTTGCATTTATACTGAGGGAAGAAATTTGAGAATATTGTACCATAAGAGAAAAGATTAGTACTTGTACCAACTTGATTACCACACTGAACTCAGAGATTGGTGATTATATCTTTATTTCCTCTCAAGTGATTTTTATGGGAACATAAGGAATTGTATAGTTTTAAAACACCACATCTTTTATGTTGTTTTCTTTTTTCTTAGTACTTTAGAGATCACATTTTAAAATTAGATGTGTCTCATTTAATAAATATGTAATGTAAATATATATAACTATAGAAAGTAAACATGTTACATAAAAATACTTTAAAGTATTTTTTTGACAATGGTACAGAATTTTAAATATGTGGACAGGGCAGAGGCAGAGGACAGTGTAACAAATACTTATGTACTCATGATCCGCAAGTGATCAAATTTTTTTTCCTTTTCCAGAACTTAGTATACCTCCCCAGAGCTAACCATCTTCATGAATGTGATATAGATCTTCCAATTCATCAGATTTTATTTTGAGTAGATTAGGTCTGCTTTTCTTTTTTTCCTTTTTTTGCCATCATCTTTTTTTTTTTTTTTAATCATTTTATTAGGGGCTCATACAACTCTTATCACAATCCATGTCAATTGTGTAAAGCGCATTTGTACATTCATTGCCCTCATCATTCTCAAAACATTTTCTCTCCACTTAAACCCCCGGCATTAGGTCCTCATTTTCTCCCTCTCTCCCTGCTCACCCCTCCCTCATGAGCCCTTGATAGTTTATAAATTGTTATTTTGTCATATCTTGCCTTGTCCGATGTCTCCCTTCACCCACTTTTCTGTTGTCTGTCCCCCAGGGAGGAGGTCACATGTAGTTCCAGGTCTGCTTTTCTTCAAGAAATTCTCAATTCCTTTTGTAGGGTGAAAGAATCCTTTGCAAAGGAAATAATCACTTCTTTTTCCTAATTTTTCAGGACTTATTTTTAAGTATCATAGAATATTAGCAGTTTTATTTTAGAACTAGCCTTACTTCCTGGGATAATTTTCAGAACACACTCTTTTTGAAACCTCATTGGGGCATTTTAGTTTTGGATAGCCTACCAGAAAAGGAATGGATAACATTGAAACAGGTATAATTTTATTGGTTCTGTGCTATGATTAAAAGCAAAAACAACCCTTAAATCATGCCCCTCCCGATCACAAATTTTTCTTGTGTATTTATTTCTGTAAAATAATCAGTTTAAGTATAGTTCATGAAAAGGCATTGAATTAGTAGGTCATTTTAACCTGGCATGCCGTTATAGTGAGTTTATGTTGATCTCTCATGAGCTTAACTTTGAATTATGAGAAAATTAGCATTCTTAATGGGAAAGGTAGAAACCCGAGATGTGAGATGATAAATTCCTTATGTTTCATTTAAAAACAAACAAAAAAAATCTCTTCTAAGACTGCATAATTAATCGCATGAGTAAATAGACCAGTGAGTTTTTCCCTCCATGTTTCAGTAGGAGTTTATGTATTTTGAAATAGCAGGTAGTGACTGTAAGTCATGAAAAATATTTAGAGCCAGAAGTGATTTTAGAAATAATTAATGGCACTAATAAAAAATTTAAATGATTATTTTATATATAACTATGTAACATATACAAATGGTGAATATGCTATTACACGTAATTTTATTTTATCTAGTTACATTGAAAATAGCTACTTTTTTCTAAATAAAAATAGATGAGAATATTTTTGTGTTGCTTCTGTCTTGCTAAAACATATACTTTTATATTACTGAGTGGCATCTCACAGGCTTAAGGATATACTTTAATATATATGTTTTCATATATTTGAAATCCCTTTAGTTTACGGAGAACTATGGAAAACAGGAATGTTTGAACGCATGTCTCTGCAGACAGATGAAGATGAACACAGTATTGAGATGCATTTGCCTTATACAGCTAAAGCCATGGAAAGGTATATCGGTTAATGTAAAACATTACAGAAAAGTCAAAAATTAAATTAAAAAATTTTGGAATGCTTTTAACCTAGAGGAAGAATCATTAGGGTAAAATCGTTAGATTTTTAAATTTGAAATGAAATAAAATAATAAGATAGAATTTTAAAATGTAGTTTGAAATTAGTTTTGAGTACTTTACCTATGAAGGTTTAAGGTAAAAATTGACATGGTGATTTTTTTAGGTAGGAGGAAGAATAAACCTGTGAGTGTTTTTGCCTGCTATTTTCCTCAGTAGATGTGTGTATCTCACAATAATAATTACATTCTTTTATGTTAGTGCTAATATTTCAGATTTGGAAATTGCTTGAGAGATATTTATGTCAACTTTATACAGAGAACATCGCTCAGGGGAGCACTCAGAATGAGCTCCGTCAAGTAGAATGAGGTTGGTGACAGCATCCATGTTACCAGGACATAATGTCCAACATGTAGTAGTTAGCGGTTTATTTTGATACAATGAAAAGGAAAAAATGAAATGCCCTTAGGGTTTTCTTTCTGTTAGAGGTAGCACTCATTTTTTAAAGATCTATCTTGTGTACTCGTGTAGAACCCGAGTTTTTCAGCACATTTTTAATGTGGTTTTTGTGTTAAAATTAAGTGCCTCAGCTGATGTTTGAGTCAGCTTATACTCGAGTATATACAGTTCTTTTTTCTGATTATCTCACTTTTTATATGAGCTTAATATTTGTTTCTTCCTAAACATGGTGGATTTATTTCCTAGTAATGTGCCCGCTACATGGTAGGTTCTTAACAAATATTTTTGTTGATCAAATGTTTTAATGAACATTACACATTTTTAAATGCTACTGTTGTTAGCTAATATTTACTGTGAGTAACCAAAACTCACACCTTCTCAGACTACGACAGATTGCGTTCTCCTCTTACCCTGTAGTTGTTTTCTTTTGACCCTAATTGTGTATGTCCCTCTTGGTTTTTACATTTTTCTTGCTGGTTTGTCCATTATTGTTGTTTTAAAATTCATTTTTCACTTTTAATTCTATATACAAAGTATTATTTATCTCAAATCTTTTTATCCCTTATCCATTCATAGTGATAACCATGAGGAATTACATAAACCCAAAGAATGTTTCAAAGTTCAGAGTGACATTAAATTATGAGTCATATAAATTTAAGTTAGTTTTATTTCAGTGCATTCTAATTCTTTAGAAATTGTTAAATCACAAGTCTTGCCTTGGTATAATCAAAATAATCCATTTCCCATCCACCTAATAGGTAAGTTCTGTTGTTTGCTGAAATTTTTACATATTTACATGTATATTTGTTATCTAAATGCAGATTTAACCAGTTCCAATAAAATAGAACAAATAATTTGTCAATAATATTTTCAAGAATTTTTTTAAGTAACTTTGTTGTTTCAAAGTAAAATCACCGTGTATTGTGGAAATTTTAAGAAATTAACTGCTAAAAATAAAAAAATTTCCGCCTCTGCTAAATGACCTGGTTTTATTTGTGCTGTTAGGTACTGTCAACTCAGATCTGACTCCTAGCAACCCTGTGTACATCATAGCAAACCCGGCCTAGAACCCCAGCACCGTTCCAATGAATCGTTATGATGACTACTGTTATGCATTTCACTTTTTAGGAACATGTTCTTTAGTTCCCAGATTACATGATTGTTGTAGTTTTGTGCTACTGAGTTGGTTCTAACACATAGCAACTTTATATGATAGTGCCCTCTGTCCCCTAATTCTTTTTAAAATTTATTATTAATTGGGAATTAATACATATGTCATTCCATAGTTCAATTGCGTCAACATTACAATTGCTACCACAATCAGTTTCCAAACATTTCCCCCTAATTCTTACTCTTAGCTAGTACCATGTATTTTTCTTTTGTAGTATTCTCTGAGTTTACTATCAGTTATCTATTAGTGATAAATTACCCCCAAATTTACTGGCTTAAAATTACAACTTCTTAGTGCTCACAATTTGGGGACAGGATTTGGGCAGGGAACATCTTGCTCTGGTCTACAAGGTGTTGACTGAGGTGACTCAAATGATGCTAGAGGATGCAAGATGGCCTCACTCATGTGACTTGGATCTTAGTGCTACCTTTTACTTGGGGGGAGGTGGGGGGACACCACAGTTATATTTCACCTGGCCTGATTTTTTATCAGCCAGAGCTTTTCTCTGTTCCTGGGCCCTTTTCTAGAATGGGGGCCTGGACTTCCCACCACCACTGAGTTGATTCTCGCCTGTAGCAACTTTCTTTAGGGGTTCCCGAGCGATACATTTTTGTGGGAGCAGAGGGGAGCTAAACCCACGTTTGTAACTTTCCTAAGGCCTGGATTTGAAACTACATGGTATCATTTCCACAGTGTTTTCCACAGCAAACCACAAGGTCAGATTTAAAGGGAGGAGAAAGAGATCCCACTTCCCAATGGAAGCAGCAGCATGCATATATAAAAATAGAAGGACTAGTCATTAGCCATCTTGGCAGGAAGTCTTTTGGTGGCTACTGTACATCTCTCCAACCTTCAGTGTGTACTCCAAGATTTCCATAAATGTAGTAAGCCCATCATGCTCAAAGTCCAGTGTCTCATGATCTACATCAGGCTGTGACATGGATGGACTTCATGGGTCTGGCTCCTGTTGACTTGGAAGCCTGCTAAGTAAGACGAGTTATATGTTCCCTCTCTTCCCCACAATATATTCTCAGTGGATAGCTGTGACACAAGTGTAGTTGACTACATCCCCAATGAACTGTAAAAGAATGGGATTCATAACACAGTCTCTGTTTTACAGCAATGTGGAAATTTAACAAGGGGCCAGCCTTTTTTTATTAAGGCTTGTTCATGCTTTAATTGTAAGTGACATAAGTCATTGTTTTCTTCAGCTTTTGTTTGGATCTTGCTTTGTTCTCCTTGTTATTATTTTTCCTCGTAAATAAAATATGGGCCTTATTTGCCCCTGAGTAACATTATGGGCCCCTTTCATATGTGTGAAGAAGACCTACTGGACCAGTGGTCGAAGTGCTCGGCTGTGGGGCAGAGAGAGGTGTGTGATTGGACCCCTCCTGCCTCTCTGCTAGAGAAAGACATGGCAGCCTCACATAGGGAACACGTTGGAGCCTAGAGACTTCTTGATTTGGAACGGTGTTTCTTTTGTTCCAAACTTAGTGGAATGCCTTAAAAAACATTTGTGAATTTATGTATCAAATTATAAGTATAGTTTATTAGGGAAACACCAGTCAAATCTAGTGTTTTCTGAGACCAAAAACCAATCTCCCTAAACTTTTGACCCCAAGTTGGGGTGCTATAAGTGTTTTAAAAGCCCTTTTGTCTTCTCTCAGAGAGTATACAAGTACTACTTTAAATCTCTCTGAGGTCTCAATAAAAGTTCTCACCTGTACACTCTTGATTCGACACCTTTTTGACTATCAGTGTTTTGGGTCAAACTAATATATTACTTACTTTCTGGGGCATGGTGCTGGTCGTGAATGGAGGTACTCAGTTTCGGGGATCTGCTGGTGTGCAATATGGGTCACTTTAGTGACAGTTTCCGCTTTGCTCTTCCACTCTCCATAAATAGTCCTTTGTTGCCCTTTCATCTTCTACCTGCCTTTCAGTACTAAAAGCCAGCATGACGTGTTTTAAGTTGCAATTACTCCTTACTTACAGGTACCATTTTTTTTTTTTTTGGTTGTAGGTATCGCTTGTAGCAGGAAAAAAAATCATCTTCAAATACCTATCACTTTTATTTTAGTTTCCGGACATCGGAAATTTGACCAAGTCATTGGAGACAATTCATCTCTTTCATATGCTGGGGGCTCCAAATGTTTTACTTATGTAATATCAGGGACCATTGACGTGTCTAATTTTTCCATTCTTGGTCCTTCCTATCTCCCTGTATGTGCACTCATCCTTCCAGGCTTGTTTCAGAATATTAGTTTCTTTATGTCAGCAGCATTGCTTGGAGCTCTTTACATGGCCGCTCAGGGTAGCAAGAGAGCAAATGTAGAAACTAACGAGGCCTCTCACTTCTGTCACACTGCTGGTCAAAGCCACTTGGAAGGCTGGATTCATGGGGGACGAGGCAAAGACTCTCCTTTTGATAGGTATAGTATTAGTATGAGCATTTAGAATTGGGGGAAGTTTTTAGTGGTCTTTTATGTGGATAATCTATCATAATATCCAACCAATGTCTCTGGTTGCCTATGTGATGGCTATCTACTCTGCCTGATAATCCTTTGGTCTCTTAGTTCCCTGAGGGTAGCTAGTTTTCTGTTTATCCTATGTGCCTAGCATTGAACCTGATACAGAAAAAGTGTTCAATAATTAATAGTTGAATGAATGAAAAACTTTTGATTTTTCATGCTTCTGTTAAGTATTTGTATTAAATGGGATCAAAATACTTTTCATATCACGAACATATTTTCACACTGTTTGTGTACTCCATCTTATTGTTTTTCCATAGGACTTTATAGTTTATGCAACATTTTAATCAAATCTTAGACATTTAAATTTTTGCCCAGTTTTTTACTATTTTAAACAATCATGATAAGATTTTTTTTTTGTTTTTTTTTAAGATTTGTTTTTTAAACTAGATTTCTAAGGTATTTATTTATAATTTTATGTGTTGTTAGCATAGACTTTTCAAATTATATTCATTTATTAATGTTCTTTTTAGTAAGTAATGTTAAAAAGAAAGCATAAAGTGTCATATTCTTATTGCCCAGGTAACCCTATTGAGTGGGGGGTGGAGAAAGCATGTACACAGTGTGAAAATGCATAAAATACCAAAAAGTACAAAATAGTGAAAGCCTTTCCAGAACCTCTCAATGACAGTCGTTTTGCTACCAATATAATTTTTTGCGTATACTAGTATATTTACTTACCCTTACTAGGGTAGATTAAAAATCATTGCCACCAAACTATGGATGTCTTCATTAAACAAAAATATCAAAAGTCCTCTGTCTATGTCTGTCCACTGCTGA